CACATTTTGAATGTCAGTTTTCTTTTCTATTAACATTCTAAGGACATTCCCAATTGTTTGCACTTAGAAATAGCTGAAGTGAGTAAGTGACAAGACACACATAAGATAGACATCGAGCTGCTGGGCGGGAGTCTGAGAGTCTATTCCTTAACCTTTAAGGCACTATTAGGTGACTCGATTTAATGAGCCAAGTAATCTCTATATAAAAGTCTCTTAAACAAATTACAGGATCTTAGAAGCAACTCATCAGACAAAGAAAATCTCATACATAAAAGAACATTTTTTCTTCAAATAACTTTTTTTAAAAATTAAATTAAAAATCAAGGGCTAGGGATACGGCTCAGTGGTAGAGTGTTTGCCCTGCACATGCAAGGCCCCAATCCTCAGGACTATAAAAATAAACAAACAAAAAATAAATAAATAGAAAACCAACTATTGTTCATCTGTACGAGAGGTTGATCCCAGAGCACTTTACCACTGAGTTACATCACCAGCACTTTTTATTTTTTTTTTTATTTTGAGACAAGCCCTCACTAAGTTGTTGAGATTGGCCTTGAACTTGCAATCCTGCCTCAGCCTCCTGAGTCACTGTGCCTCACTGGACAAAAGTGGCACTAACTTTGATAACAAGAGTAAATCAACCATAACAAGAATGACTGAATACACCCATCTTTATAGCTGTACTTGGGGTTCCATCTATTATAAAAAATCCTAAATCATTTAGTGCCTTTTTAAAAATAATCAAAAATATCAAGTCATACTGAGAAACAAGAGTCAGCACTGAAGATCCACAGTGGCTATGAATCCTGAGATTCCCCTGTAGGAGAAGCTACTCTAGGTCAACAGACAAAAGGGTTGGAAAGGAAGCTAGTATGCAAGCTCCAGGTGGGTAGAGAAATTTTTTTTTTGCTTTTATTTTCTTTACTGCCTTGTTTCCATTCCTACAAGACAGAACATAGTAAATGTTCAATTAATACTGCAAGATAAATGGCTGTCCAGAAAGGTCCTTTCCAAAGTTGGCAGCAAACCATACAAAGAATATTCCAGCTTTGGCACCTATCAGTCGGAGAGGGCACTATGACTCTCTGGCCTGCACTGAGGTCTTTGCAATGTTCTGATGCAGATACAAACCACAGTGCTTCTCAATGAAGAAGAGTGGCCTAAACATTTTTGCAAATCTTTTTTACTGTCTAAAATTAATTAAGAAAGACTGCTGGATTCTCCTCTGCTTCTGCATCTATTGAGTTTCACTTTAGATAGCCTTTGGAAAATTCCTTGCAAACTCCTATGTAAATGAAGGGAAGAAAAGCAAATAATGTTTTAATGAAAAATGGTTTTGACCTTATTAGACCCTGAAAGAGCTGCCTTAGTCCTTGAACTAAGAAGTTAAGAGACATAACTTTGATCAACATTCAGAAGAAATTTTCAAACAAGGGAAGGGGATTTAAAAAAAAAAAAAAACAGAGGAAAACATCACTGACTACATGAAGCCACACTTACAAGAAGGCCAGGACATTTTAGCAGTGGTACTTGTCACTTTAAATATCACTTATTCTTTGTACATTAACAATAATTTCATCAGGAAGTGAATTTTGCTATTTGAAGAGGAAAAAAAAAAAGCCAATGCTTCAGTCTGACAAGACAGACCCCAGCACAAGAGCTACATATTATAACTCCTTCCAGTGGAGTATAAATGTCAATTGTTAAGGTACATTTACCTTTTTACTTAAAAGTGACATTCTAATTATAAGACCCATAAGTCACCTTTCTCCAGGCTTTTCTCTGGCACCACTTCCTGCTGTCATTCAAATATTATTTAACAGGACAAAAGAGCAATTTCCCATTACCAATCAGTTCCAAACTGCTCTACAGTTCAGTCTTTCAGTCTGTGTGATTCTATGAATAGCAGCTAAATGGTAATCCACAAATCAACGCCCAAATCCCCTCTAAACAGATGTTCTTCAGCTAGTTCAGGTGATTACCATTTACTACAAATAACTCATCCTGCAGCAAAATAGCTGTATTCAAATAAGGTCAAGAAAAATAATTATTCAATAAATGTTCACAAATAACCACTTCATGCCGTCATTTTCCCTGCATCTAAGAAGATAACACGCTTCCAAAAGTTCTTCCCCAGGGCTGAGCTGGGCTGGGGTTCAGGGGTAGAGCACTTGCCTAGTATGTGTGAGGCACTGGGTTCGATTTTCAGCACCACATATAAATAAATAAGTAAAGTTCCAACAACAACTAACAAAATATTAAAAAAAAAAAGGGTTCTTCCCACAGGCAGGCAAAAACAAATTAGTTTTTTTTTTTAATTACTTATGGTGACTTTTTCAGGAGATATACGGCCTTCATGTCTTATTAAACTCACACCCTTTAGCAAACTTTATTAACTAGGCCAGTACTCTCTTGATCAACAGCACAGGCCTTGGTGGGGATCCTAAGGCGCCACCTAGATTGCAACTCTGGGAAAATTACTTATTCCGCAACTCACTTTTCTCAGATTTACTTTTTAAATTTATTATTGTTGTTGTTGTTATTATTTGGTACTGGAGACTGAGCCCATACCTTTTCATTTTTTTAAATTTTGAGACAGGGTCTCATTAAATTGCTGAGGTTGGCCTCATACTTGTGATCCTCCTGTCTCAGCTCCCAAATCAATGGGATAATAAGCGTGCACCACCACACCCAGCTTTTCTAGGCTTTAAAATGAAGATAATAATAGTATCTACCACTTAAATGGATGAAAAGATTAAGTGAAATAATGAATAAATGAGTAAGGCACTTAAAACATTGCTTGATACACAACTCAGTAAATGTTGGCTCTTGTCTATATGTACTAGCCTATTAAAACAACCTCACTATAGTCACAGCAGATAGAATAGTCCATAATAATTAATAAAGCCCCAGGATAATGCAACAGGGAAATACCAAAAAAGAGGAAAATACTTTAAAAAGCTTACTGAGGTGCCTTCCTTCTCTACATGGGCAACTGTCAGTACCACTTATGAAAATGCTGACAAGCCAGGGGAAAGGCAGCAAAGATATCTGCAAAGTTACTACTATTCTATGAAACAAGAAAAAGAGAGGCTCAAGAGGCTGAGTCAGGAGGATCATTGGTTTAAAGACAGCCTTAGCAAATCAGTGAGGCCCTAAGCAACTTGGCAAGGTCCTGTCTCTAAATAAAATATAAAAAAGGGCTGGGGATGTGGCTCAGTGGTTAAGCACCTGAGTTTAATCCCCGGTACAAAAAAAAGAAAAAGAGAAATTCAAGAAAACTTGTCTTTCCAAGTAGATTGATGGACACTTAACAGAAAACTTGACATAGCTATCTAGAAATAAGAGAACTGTGGGCCAAGTGTGGTAGCACACGCCTGTAAACTCAAAAACTAGGGAAAATGAGGAAGGAGGATTGCAAGTTCAAGGCCAATCTGGGCAACGTGGTACAATCCTGCCTCAAAATAAACATAAAAAAAGGGCTATGGAGGGCACTGGGGTTGTGGCTCAGTGGTAGAACATTTGCCTAGCATGTGGGTTCGATCCTCAGCACCACATAAAAATACATAAAATAAAGGCATTGTGTCCATCTACAAATGAAAAAAAATTTTTAAAAAAAAGGGGGCTAGGGAACCGGGGGTTGTAGCTCAGTGGAAGAGCATTTATCTTGCACATGTGAGAAACTGGGTTTGATACTCAGCACCACGTAAAAAGTATATAAATAAATAAATAAATAAAAATAAAGATATTGTGTCTATATATATGTATTTTTTTTAAAAAAAAAAAAGGCTGGGGATATACTTATAGGTAGAACATCACTGTGAGTTGAATCTCCAGTACTACAAAAAATAAAAATAAAAAATTTAAAAAGAAAGAAATAGAAATCAGAGAACTGTGCATTCTGCTTTGAAACAGATATTTTTGCAGGCAACATAAAATTATTGTAGGCTGAAGGTGGTTGTCTATTCATACATACCTGTATGTATCACCTATACCGTAAGATATGCAGTAAGAGTTCCAGGTGTATAACTCTATTCTCAGACACAGTCTAGCAGCATACTCTGAGAGAAATGAAACTTAAAGCCAAAAAGAAAATTTTCATGAAAGTCTTTGCCACCAGGATTAAACTTATCCAGAGATGATGTAACTGGTGGAGTTTATCAGAGAAAGAGTCATGGTGGATGACTGATACATAAAATTACTAACCGGGACACATATGAAAACTCTAGCTACCACTTACTAAACACTATGTGCCAGGCCTTCTTTTTTTGTTTTTTATATGGATTAACTAATTAATTATTAATATTGCTATAAGATAGGCATTTTATTGTCTCTACCTTAAAGCTGAGGACTGAGGTACAGAGAGAGATTAACTTGCCCAAATGTCAAGTTAACAGTGGCTGGTCCTCTCTGGCAGGGGACTGTGATTCACGTAGAGGGTTTTGGTTATCTATGACACTGAAATTTTTGACAATAAGAATGTAAGGACTTGTATAATTAGAATTTTTTATATCTCATAACCTTAGTCAGACTTTTTATTGAGCTTTCTCTGGAATTCTATTTAACTCCCACCTGACACACATCTGCACTTACCCACATGAGCAAGACCCCCATGGTGAGCCTAATATCAGAGCAGCTGGCAGCTCTTGGAGAAGAAGAAGGGGTGGATAATTACTCTTGACAGGTCATGACAGACACAGTCTCTATCCAACTACCAATAAACTTCAAAAACTACCGTAGACTCCGTAAGTTTGCCAGTCTCCAGATCCCAGTTTATGTCAAATATGGCTGTGTCCCCTCTTAGCTTAAGTTAATTCAGGGCATTGAAAAATAAACAAGTTTACAATGGAAGCAGGTAGTAAAAGTTCAGAATAGGGATGAAACAAAGATTGTGATTGGTCACTTACCCTAATAGGATTGCAATATTACAGACTGGCCATGCATAATCCTATTATGAACACTTTTCATTAATAAGTTTTTATTATAGTTTTATTTCTTACCCATTAAACAAGGTTTTTTTCATCTTCTTCCATATTATTCCACAGGCATTGGTTAGGTTTCCTCTTCTCTATTACCTATGATGGAAACAATCTGTAAGGCCAGAAAAAAAAAAGCAAATTCATTTAGCAATTCAAAATATGATCAATATATTACAATGCAGTGAACTCCCTACAAGCCCTCAAACCTGACATAAAAGAATGAAAAAATAAACTGACATTTTTTTTTCAGCTAGGAATCAAGATTTATTCACTTACAGGTAGACTGATTCATAAATGGAAGTATAAAGGTTTAGTTCCCGAAAAAGTACACTGCATTTGTTTTAGGTTTTAAAGATGACATATTATCCTTGCATATAATCAGAAAAACTTCATGGTAACAAAATTATCCAAGTATCAAAAGCCAAAATTATTTTTGTGTAAATGAAATACATAATAATCCAGTATAGCAGGAGGTGATTCTTTTGTGTTAACTGGTTTCATGATCTTTATGTAAGCAGCAGCATTCTTCTTAAAGAGCAGTGTATAGTCTACACACAGGACCTTATATTAATCAAAGATGTCTAGAGTTTATAATTTGAATAAATTGAACATATAATCATTTTTTAGATTTCTGACAAGTATTCAGGGCACAATAAAGCTTGAGCTTGGCATACTTAACTACTATGTAACAGAATGGAAAATTCTCTATTTTGTCATCCTAATTGCTCACACAAGAATCCCCTTTGGAAGAAACTTTCTTTGTGAAAATATGTTTCCTCAATATGGACCCCCCACCTCTCATGTCCAGTCCCCTTGGAGCGAGTGGGTGGTTCCCTGCAGAATGGCTGTCAAGATCCCAGAATGGTTGTCAAGAAAGGGAAATTGCTCTGCATTAGACAAGGGGAAGAATTTGTTGTTTTATCTCTGAAAGGAAAGTAGAGAAGAATGCTGAGGAGAGGGAATGGGAGAGAAGAAAAGAAGAGCTAGCATAATGGAGCAAAGCTGGGATTAGGTAGGGGTGAAGCTCTCAGGTCAAGGGAGGTCTGAAAACGTTTAAGACYGGGGATGCCTTACTAGGAGAGTTGGCTGCATTAATGCAAAGCAAGGCTCACCCCACCTCTATTTGGCCGCCTTTCTTCAGTTAGATATACAAAATCTGCAAATGTCCTGTGTGAATAGGGCCTTTCTAAAACCAGTAAAGAAAACAAGTTTCTCATCTGGGTGTGCTAAGTGCAAATCAGTAGCACAGGGCAAGAATGTACAAGGCCAGGAGACAGAAGAGGATGAGAGATCAGAAAACACACAAGGATGTTTAGGGAGAGCTTAAATCTTCCACACATTCTAGGCTGAAGGGTTGGAGGCAAACTTATTCAGGAAAACTACATGAATGGGGTTTCATAAAGTGTCCCTCTTTCCTTATCCAAATGAGCTAACTTGCAATGTAAGAAAACTAAAAAATTAAAAGTTGTCTTAATTATACTTAAAACCAAGTTATTTTAACTAATTTTAGATGCTCCCCAAAAGTTAACTACAATAGTCTCTTCTATATTAAACGGCACCTAGGATATTTAAACAAGGGAGTTTATGCTTACAGCCCTATGAAGCAGCTATTAATTTGAAGAATAATTACTTTAATAATGATGATAGAGATTCTGAAAATTGGGAAATTATAGTAAGTCAGTTCACTTCTACAAACTATTAGTTTGAGTAAAACTCCACATATTCAAAAATTTTCCATCTGGGTCCCACATACGTCATTTCAACGACTGCAATATGCTTTGGAATGGGAGGGGCATGGAATTACAGATATATAAAACAAAGCACTGGAGTAGGAATGAAATATAAATGTGGATGACATCTCTTTCAGTGCTCACTTGAAATAAAGTCCCCAAATCACAGGCAGGCATATTCCAAACTTACCTATTAATGAACATACTGATCTCTTGGGCTGTTGGATGTTATCACCATGATGTCTATTTACTAGCAGGAGACCTTACTTAACTTCTCTGAGTCTGTTTCTAATTACCTTCATAGCACTGGTATGAAAATTAAAGGAGAATATGGCTAAAATGCTCATACACTGCCTGGCACCCAGCCACTGGTTTAGTTTTCTTCATTTAACTTTCTACCCTTAGTTTAGAGGAGTTCCCAGGGCTTGAAAAGGAGAAAATCAATCTTGGAATGTTACCCAACTAACTTATTCTGACAAATAATAATAATACAAATGAATATGATAGCTATTAACATCTATAAATCCTTTAATGTATGCCAGATATTCATCCAGTACTTCATTCAATCCTCACAACTATGAGGTAGATATTATTTTTATTCCCATTTTGCAGACAAGGAACTGGAGGCACAAACAAGTTTCATAGATAATAAGTGGCAGAATTAGGATTCAAACACGTTTCTACTCTTTAAGAAATACTAGCCTCGTCTGATTCATAGTGGGGTAGGGAGAGGGAGCATGGGAGGAATAGACGAACTCTAGATTGAGCAGAGAACGTTGGAGGGGAAGGGAGGGGTATGGGGTTAGAAATGATGATGAATTGTGACGGTCATTATTATCCAGAGTACATGTATGAAGACATAAACTGGTGTGAATATACTTGGTATACAACCAGAGATATGAAAAATTGTGCTCTATATGTGTAATAAGAATTATAATGCATTCCACTGTCATATAAATTTTAAAAATTAATTAAAAATAAATAAATAAGTAACCCATTAAAAAAAAAAAAGAAATACTAGCCTCAAGGACTAACATCTAGGTGACAGCAGCAAGGCCCTTCTTTGAGGGTTCACYAATATTATTATAGTCAAATAGGGTACGTTCAGAATTGATCTGCAGAATTGACCTATTATCTAAAAAATACATACAAATATATAATCTATATAATAATTATGGAGTGACTGGATGGTGAGAAGTAAATATGGTGTCTTAGAGTTTAAAATGTGAATGGGACTAATAGGTGCATTTTAAATTTTTTTTCTTTTTAATATCCAGTCTCTTCATTCCTTCATCAATATACATTGAGGACCTATTCAGGATTTGGCACTTTTTTAGACATCAAAGATGTTCACAATAGGTAAAATAAGATGCAGTTGCTGGGACTCCATAATTTTACTATCAGCAAGGATTTGTTGGATTTAAGTATGCTCCTTGACTCAGTCATATGATTTTCCTATCCCAATCTATAAGCTCACAGTAAAATGTCTATGTCAAAAATGTTTCAAGTACACAATTAGATGAATAAGAGCAAAACATACTGATATGGCATTTTATGGCTTTCAAAGTACTTCTACACATATCCCTTGGGGTGCCTCAAGCCAGTACTTAGAGCAGGTAAGGCAGGAATGATAGTCTAGGAAGTGATATCTAATGCAGTCTGATTATTGTGGAGTTGAGACATATTCTAACTGCAAAAGAACCAATGGCTCAAAATCTGAATTTGATGCTCTTTCTACGTTTGAATAAAAAGTCTACAAAAATGACTTTTTCCAAAGTCAATGTCATAATTGATTTTTTAAAAAATCAGAAACAATCAGCCATATATAATTAAGGTTAAAATAGGCCAAAAGTATTAGAAGATACCAAAGGCTAAAAAAACTCACACAACTAAATAGAGGAATGCTCACACAAATAAAGAAAAATTAATAATGCAAAAAGAAATGTAACATTTTTACATTTCAGTGCACAACATGGACAGCATGAACAAAAGATTCAAGATCTGCTCGTTTTGCTTGTTCTAAGATTCGAAATTATCAGTTTATCATGGTTTTTTAAATAACGGTTTTTAAGTCCAAATTCAGGGCTTCTACATAAGAACTGCAAAATAGACTCATGAATTCCTGTGAAACACAAAGAGTGCTAGTATTGCAGTTACACACTCTGTGGCTCAAAATTATCTAGGTAGTAATAGCACTGTTCACTTGACATATGAATTGATTTCTTATAAGCTGTTTATTAAAATGCTTTTTCACCAAAAGACAGAAATGTTATGTCAGTTTAAGAAACTATATATTAGAGGGAGCATGAACTAAAATCAATTTCCATACATGTATGAGTTTGTCCGGATGAACCCAACTACTACGTATAACCATTACGATCTAAAAGAGAAAAAAAAAAGAAACTGTCTGTTTCTGTGTGTATATTACAGCATACATGAAATAGCCAGCTAGATTGTGACCTTACTGAAGCCAGGGATTATTTTCCACTTATTATTTTCCTGTTGAAACACCATAGTTATAGTACAAAAGACATAGTAATATATATTTTGGTCAAATGAATCACCAAGAGATGGTCCCATTTTTATATTTATCTTAAATTTTACCTCTTATATAAAATGATTTCTAACATTTGTAAAGTAGCTTTCTTGCTTTGGCCATATCCTCAGCCCAGAATTTCTAATTTTGATAATGACACGTGTACGCACACACACATAAACACCTCTCTCTCTTTTTTTTTTAATTAGATCAAACCTACCACCTCTCACATGTTAGGCCAGCATTCTACCACATCCTCAGTCTTTTTATTTTTTATCTTGAGACAAGGTCTCACTAAGTTGTCCAGGCTGGCCTTGAATTTGCAATCCTCCTGCCTCAGCCTTTCAAGCAAGAGGGATTACAGATGTTTGCCACAGAGCCTGGCTAAAGTACCTATTCTCAATTTAAAACTCATTTACCACAGCAAACTGGAATTTTATCATCTTTCCACATGTACACTGTCATGTTAGAACAAAACATTTCATCCTTGAGCCTTCTTAAAGAAAAACAATTTGGGATTAATACAATGATATATGAAATTCAGAATCCCAGACTGAAATATGGTCAAGTTCCACATTAGAAATTTTCCTCCCTAAATACCTATATATATGGTGGTTAGGATCAAAAAGGCTTTAGGAATCCATCTGCCATGTTGACTGACTTCCATATCTAAAAAGATACTCGAAGAATCTGTTAACTTAAAGGGGCACAAGAGTATTGGAAAGTGAAAAAGCCTCAGATTTAAAATCATAAGGCTTGAGTTTAAGTCCCAGATATTCATTTTTTAACAGTGTGACCTTGGACTACTCACTAATRTCTTAGAATCCCTACATCCTCACCGGTAAA